CAATCAATCAATCAATCAATCAATCAATCAACTTCCATCTTTTGCAGGAACAACTGTGTATAAAGAAATATGGAAGAAGGCTGTTGTGTCTATGAAACAATTAAATAAAGCAAAATAAAATGTAGAATGATTTCTTTACTTCAAATTACAATCGCACAGAGTTACTCAGAGCAATTTTTAAAAAACTATTACTCTTCAAAATGGTGATGTCTTCTACTCATGTTTCGTTCTCCCTGAGCTTATTGTGACCTGACAAACTGATCACTTAACAATATGGATCTGTCTTTGATTAAAGGGAACATCTGTCCCCTGTTTTCATACCACCATTAGAAATATTTATTTGTTTGAATTATAACCTTTTTCAAGCTGCTTGATTTTCTAAAGCTTCTTAAACTGCAACATGAAGAAGCAGTGTGTCCCGTTCAGTTCCTAGTTGGCCGCTCGACTTTCTTTTGTTTTGGGTCTTGAGCAAAAGGTCGTTGGGCTTTTTGGAAGACTTACTAAAACGTTTCTTTGAACTTCGGCTACTTTTTACATTCATTTTCAGTCATGTCTCTGTACCTGATCATTTACAGAGAAACCACAACAACAACAACAATATAGGCATGATCTGCCGACAGAGAGAGAGAGTCTTTCCTCTTGAATATTTGTTCAGTATTGTATCAACCTCCTTAAATGTGTAATTATTATTGGCGATTAAAATTCCAATTCAAGAAATAAAATGAAAGAAAATCCTTTAAATGCATTCATGTATTTCCAGACATACAGAGGATCTTTGCGTTGCAGCATTTACCGATATGAAAAAGTTGTTTTTGGAAAGCAGTTTATGCTACTACCAATCTGAATGAAAACAACTGATTTATATTATTTATTCAGCTGTTTAGCAGCTGGCCTTCTCTTTCATTTGATAACAGGAAATTAAAGTAACTACTGATCATGAGCTGACCGTAAAGTTCGAGATAGGAACCACTGCAGTCTACAACACTAACAGTCTGTTTTACACTGTAGCTCATGATCAGTTTCAGTGGATTTGTTTGAGATTTTTCTTGTTATTTCTTATGAGATGTCAAAGTAAAAGCATCAAAAGGACACAGATCAGTGAGCATGGATGGGTGCCTGACGCTGCATCTGCAATTCCTCTGTTTGAACTGTAGGTGGAGCTGCTACATAAAACATTGACCCCAGACTAAACCATACAAAGGCTCCAGTGTTGCTCTTCTAACTGGACTACAACACAGGAATCAGCTCTCAGAACTACAAAGCGAAAACATAAATGTGGTTGATAGAAATACATCTTCAGTGATAACGTTCCAACTTCATTTGCCCACAAACACTGGACGTCAGACAGACGTGCAGATCATTTAAACAGGTCATATAATTAGAATATTATCAAAAAGTTGATTTATTTCACTAAAGTTCATTGCACACAGACTGATATATTTGAAGTGTTGATTTCTTTTAATTTTGATGATTATAACTGACAAATAATGAAAACCCTAAATTCATCTCAGAAAATGTAAATATTCTGGCAGAGAGGGTGTCTGACTCCCAAATCCAAACTGGAAGCTGGATCCAGAAGAGGGGCCTGAAAGCTGCAGGCTCCTCCCATTCTACTGTTAAATAGTCTGAGAACTATAGAGTATCAAAGGGAAGGACAAAATATGGACACTACACATGACTGAAAAATGAAAAAACAAAACCAAAAAACAACCAAAAGTTATGTCATCAATTCAGTGCTAATGTGTGCAGATGACACAAATAGGACATGTCTTATAAACATAAAGGCCTGGATGGCCTCTAATTTTCTGCTTTGAATTCAGACAAAACTAACCCTAAAATTCTTAAAAACATAGCATCTAACCAGACACTTACCATGGACGGCATTACCTTGGCCCGTAGTGACACTATGAAGATTTTTGATCAGCCAAAAAGATGGACACCACACATCAACTAAAAAGCACATTTATTTTTAAAAAAAGTAAAACAACAACAAAAAAAGCCCAACAAAAGTCAAATGTGTTGTCAGTTCAGTGGTCATGTGTAGTGTGTGTACCTGTGCTTTGCAAAGCAAACAACATTCAAATAAGCCTGAATGCCCTGAAGGACTGAGAGAGGCCAAATAAGCCTCAACACTGCTCTAACTAATCCCTAATACAAGTAGCCCCCAAACCTGGACGTGGACACAGAGGCCTGAGGGCCATCTCACACATTTATTCAGGATAAAACAGGTTTGTGTGTTTGTGTTACTCCAGGACGTCAACATGACACGTTCAAGGACCCAGTAAACATCAGAGCAGACAGCTGTTCATAAAAACGTGCTTAAACTACTCAGACCAGCCCCTGTGAGCACTGCTGCAGAGCAGCATGAACAGTACTGATGGGGACTGTGAAGGTTTGTAGTTTGATTCCTGCTCTTGCAGGATCAGTGAGTCTGTTTAAACCTCATGAACACAACTTTAAATCCCCACAATGTCACCAACAGTTCTGCAGGAGGACAGAAGCCCCTGATTTAATCTACCATCATGCTCTGTGATATGTTGTCATGGCAACATAAAGTCCAAAAAAT